CTTCAGCAGGTATAATGTTTCAGAATTCCTCTCATTTACCTTTCTATCATACCTATAAAGTAGGTCAGGTTCCAGATTATTGACGTCCAAGGATACCCAATGATGTCCCGACTAAACTGGGAGTTGTATATTGGTCTACTAATCCCTTCAGATCCTAGTGCACCACAATGTCTAAAGCAGTGTGAACTTTATAATGGTGGTTGCTCAATTTTTCAGTAATATGAGAGATGTATTGATACATTAATCTACTCCAGTGGTAGTCACTCCAGGGCCTGCAGAGAGCTGCATCATCATCATCAACAACAACAGCAACATATTTATTCCTATCCCTGGCATGAGTCCTGAACCTCAGGGAGGCTCGCAGCTTACCCATTCACAACAGCAGCAGTTTCATGACTGAAACCACTTGCCAACCACATAGGGTTGCCAGGTCCAACTCAGGAAATACCTGGGGATTTGGGGAGTGGAGCCTGGAGACTTTGGGGGTGGAGCCTGGAGAGTTAACCATTCCCTAAAAATAAATAAATAAAAATACAGCAGTGCAGTTCCCCTGAATACAGTCTTCATTTCCGTGTTCTCTTTTTTTGCCTTCAAAGGGTTCCCCAGCAGCTGCGCTTCCACTAAATGAAAGTGTAATTTGTCATACCCCTGCAAGTCCCTTGTCAGGCTGTGGTAGCATTTCCAAGCATAGCTTGGAAAGAGCAAGTTTGGTGTAGTGGTTAAGTGTGCAGACTGTAATCTGGGAAAACCGGGTTTGATTCACCACTCCTCATTTGCAGCTGTTGAATGACCTTGGGCATGCCATAGTTCTGTCAGAGCTATCCTTGAAAGAGCAGATCTTGAAAGAACTCTCTCACCCCACCTACCTGACAGGGTGTCTGTTGTGGGGAGGGGAAGGGAAAGGAGTTTGTAAGCTGCTCTGAGACTCCGAGTGAAGGGCGGGGTATAAATCCAATCTCCTCCTCCTCCTCCTCCTCCTCCTCCTCTTCTTCTTCTTTATTAAGGGACACACAAACATACTCACCAAAGCAGCCAAAATAAACAATAAATCCTTTCCCAGACACAAACAGTTTGCAAGCCCACACTTTTGTGATCTTACTGGAGCTATGGTATAAATCACTTTACTCAAGGGAGTTGCTGAATGTAACAATCTGATTTATTTCAACCATCTTCTTCAGACTAACACAGAAAAATGAAATTAAGTAAGAGCAGTCTATGGTGGGGGTGTCAAACCTAAGGTCCACAGGCTGGAACTGGCCCACTGAGGACTTCAGTCAGGCCCACGGCTCTCTTCTTCACCCCCACCCCCTGCCCTGCCTGTCCTCACCCTTCCAAGGGAGATCAGGGCTGCCGAACTTCCCAGCTGGCTGGGCCTTGTCTTTGCTGGTTTCTTTTCCAGCAGAAGCTCATCTGGGCTAAAGCACAAAAAAAGTTGCAAAGAAAATGTGGAATGGATTTTTCTTTAAGGTCTCTGGGCCCAGACAGACTACTCGGGGACTGGAATGACAGCCCCCAGAGTGGAATGATGGTCCCTGGGAGTAGCAGCTGCATTCTGGGAATGGAATTCCACTCTGGGGGCTGTCATTCCAGTCCCCGAGTAGTCTGTCTGGGCCCCGAAACCTTAATGGAAAATCAATTCTGCATTTTCATTGCAATTTTTTTAAGCTGCGATGTATTTCAATGGAGTGTTCAGTTTCCAGTGTTTGTATACCAGTTGAAGTTGTCTGCTTGCAAATAAAGGGCTGATGTTTTGAGCCAGCTTGTCTCTACTGAATGGACCTGAGAACAGGTGCCTGAGTGAATCAAGTAACCTTTTCTATTCTTATTACAAATAATTTGTGCTCTCATACACACACACACACACACACACACATGTACACCTTAAAAGCCATTAACCCAATTAAATATACCTTTCTTGTCAAATAGTTGTGAATTTTATATGCTAGGTTTTTAGCTTTAGGAGACATTTTAATTTCTCAGTTATCTAAAATCTTAACACACTACTGTTGAAAGATTGCCCTCTGGTGGTATGAGAGGGATCATAGCAAATAGTGTGAAACCGCTGGGCTTCTTCTTTTTGCCATCAAGTCACAGCTGACTTGTGGTGACCCCATGGGATTTTCAAGGCAAGAGGTAGTCAGAAGTGGTTTACCATTGCCTGCCTCTGTGTCATGGCCCTAGTATTCCTCAGTGGTCTCCCATCCAGGAACTGACCAAGGTTGATCTTGCTTAGCTTCTGAGATCTCATGAGAGATCGGGCTAGTCTGCACTATCCAGGTCAGAGCTGTAGTAGACACTGAAAAAGTAGGTCACTGCATCCGTTGTCAAGTTCACATCTGCTTAAATTACTACAGTTCTTTCATTTCCAATAAACAGTTACTTCTTCTGCCAATAATTTAAAAACAGTAAATATTTGGGAGAAGTCCTCCTCTAGACATTTTATGTTTTTAAATAACTGAATCTAATTTTTTTAATGGAGGAGCACTCAGTAATGCCAGCCCCCACTTGCAGTTTGAATGGTGCAGGGAGCATTTATCATCTCAGTGAGAATTAGGCCTCACAAGATGTCATTAGGGGCTAAATTACAAGGCTGCAGAAAAAGCCTGCATTGCTCACAGAGCATGCCACAATGGTGATGTTCGCCTATCACCTTCTTCAGGATTCAACTTTCAGTGTGTGTTTTAAGTGTCAAGTTTTCCCTGAGACTGAATTGACAGAACTGACAGTGAGAATATGCCTTAGTTCCAGGGCTTTTTTCCCTGGGGGAACGAGTCAGAACAGAGTTCTGGAACCTCTTTGACAAAATTCTTTTAAAAATGTTTAAAAGTTCATGAGTTTTCAATGGACAGACTGAAAACTTAATTTCCCTCTTGAGAGTTCCAGCACCTCTTTTTCAAAAAAGGAAGAAGAAGCCCTGCTTAGTTTTATGAAAACCAGGGAGAACTGTGTTTCCATCAAGAAGAACCTCCTCCAGCTGCATACATCTCACTCTCCACTCATGTTTGTCCTGGGGTCCTCTGTCCCCCACTTTAGGAGGCATTTGGGACTGCGGCAGGATGGAGGAGGCAAGGAAATTTTGGGACAGTATTCAAGCCACTTCTACTACACAAAGACTTCCCAACTAGGTATATGAACAAAAGGGACAGCATCTAATTAGAAATCCCAGATATATGCACGATGTATCATCCTGTCATCATTCGCTTTTTGTTAGAACACATTACGAAGCAGAGATTCCCCACCTCCCAGAGCTGGGAGAAGAGAGAATGGGCTTTTCTCACAGCACTTCTTGTACTCAACAGATGGCACCAAATACCCTTCATTGTGAGATACATCTTTCATTGTGAGATACATGCTGAATTTGCTCGTATGGGTAGCTTGAAAGGAGATGCCGGCGGGGTAGTAGTGTGTATCTTGCGTGATGGTTGTGGTGGCGTGCAGTAGTACTAAAATGAAGGGGGGAAAGCACTGTAAAGTACAGATATCCCAAAAATAAAGGATTTTCACTTTGAATTGGAACGTAGGCAAATACCTTCAGCTTTCCCAAAACTTTCATTTTGATTGAGGTGCTAAAACAGGTCGTATTTGTTAAATGTAGATTTAATGGATTTTAAAATAGTTTCTGCCTGAAATGAAACTAGAAATTCTCAACAAAATGTACAGTACAAAAACAGGTGTGCTTTCTTTTGATTTTAACAAGATGTTATGCTGTGGCATTTGTATTTCCAAATAATTTTTTATACATGTGTTATGCTTGCCCATAACAGGATGAACTTTGAATGTTATGACTTAAAATACTGTTAATTGGATACAAACATTCAAGCCATTAGGCGATCCCAAGTAAAAGTTGTCTGTTCTTACCTTAATGCTGTCCTTTGTGTGACCTTAATGGAATGATACAGTCCATCAGGAATGTTCTTACATCTGACCCAGAAGTCGATCTCTCACAAGGGGCCAAATCAAAGTTTCAAGGGCAACTATAAAAACAGAATTCCCTGTTAATTGCTTAAGTTGGCAAACTAAACAGTGGTCTCCCAGTCAGATTTATGTCATTTGTTTGTACAAATGTGAATACCTCTTTAGAGTGATGACTGAAATAACAATCTCAGGCATTATGTATTTGATATACCTTGCATTGCAAATAAATGAATGTTCTTTTTCTCCCCTAGTTTGAGCAGTTTGAAAGCACTATTGGTTTTAAATTACCAAATCATCGTGCTGCAAAACGTCTGTGGAAAGTTTGTGTTGAACATCATACGTTTTTCAGGTACAATATTTTTTAATGGTTTCATTAAAAATGAGACACATAGAAATAAGCATCAACTGTACTATAAGCATAACTGTACCAAACCACCCCTGGTGTACTTTCTATATACTGATTGGTGGGAATTCTTTGCCACTTGTTAAAAATAAGTAGATTTAGTACACATACAAGTGCTAAATTTTTCTGAGAGCATTTTAATTACACTATCGCCACCTTGTGATTTATGTATAGAATTGAATTTTAATCTTTTGTCATATTATGTTACAATCTTTTAAATTGTTATAGTTACATAGAATCATAAGTTGGAAGGGACCTCCAGGGTCATCTAGTCCAAACTCCTACACAATGCTGGAAAGTCACAAATACCTCTCTCTCCCCTGCACAATCCAGGAAATTCACAAATACCTCCCACACACACACACCTCCAGTGACCACTGTTCCACACACAGAAGATGACAAAAAACCTCCAGGATCTCCAGCCATTCCAGAGTGGAATGACAGTCCCCAGAAATAGAATTCGTATTTTGTGAATGGAATGATAGCTCCCCAAGTGGAATGATGGCCCCTGGGACAAGCAGAAATGTTCAGGGGCTGGAATGAGTGGAATGGGGGCTGCTGAAAGTAGGAGAAGTCTACTGGCACTGGAATGACAGCCCCGAGAATAGAATGATGGCCCCTGGGAACAGCAGAAGTGTTTTGGCACTAAAATGACAGCCTCTGCAACTGGAATGATAGCTCTTGGGAGTATCTTGTGGGAGACTGGAATGACAGCCGCCAGAGTAGAATGACAGCCACTGGTAGTAGAAATCTTCTGAGATAGGAGTGTCATTCCACTCAGGGGGCTGTCATTCCAGCTCCAGAACACTTATGCTACTCCCTGGGGTAGTCATTCCACTCTGGGAGCTGTCATTCCAGTCTCAGAACACCTCTGCTCTTAGCCAGACCGGAAGTGGGGAGATGCCATTCCTGTCTCAGACTTCTACTACTCCCAGTGTCTCTCAATCCACTTTGGGGGCTGTTATTCCCATATCTGACTCTGCTACTACTCCCAATGGCTATCATTCCACTCTGGGGGATGTAATTCCAGTCCCAGAACACTTCTGCAACTCCCAGGGGCCTTCATTCAAGTGGGGGGAGGCTTTCATTCCAATCCCAGAACACTTCTACTACTCCCAGTGGCTTTGATTCCACTTTGGGGGCTGTTATTCTAGTTCCAGAACAGTTTTGTTACTCCCAGGGGCTGTCATTCCAATCTGGGGCCTGTCATGTCAGCCCCTAAACACTTCTGCTACTCCCAAGGGCCATCATTTCAGTTCAGGGGGCTGTCCTTATGCTCCCAGAACACTTCTACTACTCCCAGTGGCTTTGATTCCACTTTGGGGGCTGTTATTCTAGTTCCAGAACAGTTTTGTTACTCCCAGGGGCTGTCATTCCACTTCCAGAATACTTCTGCTACTCCCAAGGGCCATCATTTCAGTTCAGGGGGCTGTCCTTATGCTCCCAGAACACTTCTATTGCTCCCCAAGGCTGTCATTCCGTTCCAGGTGCTGTCATTCCAGCCCCAGAATTCTTCTGCTACTCCCAGGGGCCATAATTCCACTTGGGGGCTGTCAATCCCCTGCTAGAATGCTTCTGCCATTCCCAGGGGCTGTCATTCCACTTGGAGGGCTGTTATTCCAGTCCCAGAGCAGTTTATATGGGATTTCCAGTTCCCTTCCCTCTGTGCCTCTAACTAACGCATGTGCAGCACATTTGCTGCCAACAGAAAACAATGGCTGCGTGTGAGCTTGGAGGTATATATCATTCTGCTCCCATAAAGCAGAATGGGAGCTCTCTTATTAGCAGCCAGTGTTGCCTGTCAAGCTTCAGAGGGACACTATTGGTGTTTCTAGGGCTGCAGAAGTCCCCCCCCCAATTGCTTTGATGATAATAATTGATTGGTGCCAGCATGTCTGCCACGAACACTGCCGACACACCCCACCACGAGATGCCCAAACCTCCAAAAACCACATGGAAGATCATGGGGGGGTCATGAGGCAAGTTCACATGGACCTCAGCTCACAAACCACAATTTTAGGTGCAAATTTAGGGTTGTGGGTAGCTTTGTGCTGATCCCTAATCACTAGTGATGCTGTTGTTCCTGCTATCACTGCTTTGATAGAAAAGGAAGATTGTTGGCAGCAAAGAAAACATAAATTACCTGTATATGAGATGACCGAAGTACAGACAAAAAGTTTCAGTAGCTGCAAACATTGAAGAGAAACACATGGTACAACTTGGCAGTACTCTGAATGTAAACAAGTCAATATAGATGGTGCGAAGATTAAGCATGTGAGAGATAACATTAGTTATTAAAATTGATTTTTATGTGCCACATTAGGGAGCATGATTTCACAATGAAAGTGGATTTAATGGCAAATGTCATGTTTATTGATTTTTTATTTATTTAAGTCATTTGTGCCCTACCTCTCTCCCCAAAGCAGCTTACATTGTTCTCCTCTCCTCCATTTTATCTACACAACAACCCTGTGAGGTAGGTTAGGCTGAGGGAGTGTGACTGGCCAAAGGTCACCCAGCGAGCTTCGATGGCACAAGCAGAAACTAGAACCCGGGTCTCACAGGTACTAGTCTGACACTCTTAACCACTACACCACACATGTTTCTCCTAAGACGAGAGGAGGATAGTGCTTGCAGGGGTCAAGGAGCTCAGGCAAATGCATTACTTCTTTGTGGTCTCTGTGCATCACACTGATGGGCTTTGCGCCTGCATGGAAGCCAATCTCAGAAAATTCTAGCGTTACAAAAAGGTATGAAAATTTCATCTCCTGCGGCCAGAGGATGGGCTGGAACAAAACTGCTGTGGGTCTGGCCTCTACACAGGTGGGGGGAAGCTGCACCCTTCCCCTCAGCCCTCCTCCTCTCCTACTTAGCTCCCCCCCCCCCCCAGCCCTGCTGCACTTTCCTCCTATTGCTCATTTTGTCCCCATGGACTGCTTCACCAAAGTAAACTAGCTGTGCTACACTGAGCACTAACTGACCTGCTCTTGGACCCAACTCACTAACTTGCTGCCCCTGACTTTTTCCTCTTCAGAACTAATCTGCAGTTGCCTTTTTTCACAGTCCACACCACTTAACTTTTTTTTATTTGTACAACTACACCTAGGCTGGAAATGTGGCAAACATTTTTGTAACTACACCTGAGATGGAACTATGAAACTCTTTCTAGAAACTTCAGTTATTTATTTTATTTTTCGTAACCTACAAGCAAAACCTATTTCTTCCCAAAAATTAAATTAGTCCCTAGCATGTCTGAAAATTTGATTTTAATTTTTGGAAGATTAAAAATTCAGCTTAAACCCAATTTTTAAACCACCTGGCTTCAATCACTTTGAAGCACAGGTCAGCCTAATAATTTTTTTAAAAAGTATGCCTTATACTCCAATTATTATAATTTTTTTAAGTGGCTAATCATTATTTTAGAAACCTAACAAAAGCTTATTTTTTGGAATAACTCTGATTATAGAAGGACAGCTGTAAACCCAGAACCGTAAGAACGCCAAAGGATAAACTTTTTTTTAAAAAAAAAACAGTAACGACCTTGAAAATCCCCTTTAAAAGTTAAAATGCAAAGCAGTTAAAAATTCTAAAACAAACCAAGAGAAAAGACCTCAGCAACATATCCCAAGCCTTTTAAACCCAAAACATCACAAAACCAAATCAAATAAAACTATTTTTAGAAGAATCAGAAAGAAATCATCCCACACATACACTACAACCCATCAGACAAAAATAAAAAATAGAGAAAAACTTGAAATAATAATAGTTTAAATAATATTTTTAAATGAAAGGCAAACCAGTCCTGGCACAAAACAAGGTCTTCCCAGGAAGGCAGTGCAGTTAATCCGAGGCACAGACAGACCAGAGCAGCCGGAGGGATAACTCTCCAAAAATCTCATTCTGCAATAGGATTCAAGCAGCCAGGCCTGCTTGTTATCCTCTTTGTCCATAGTCATAAAGACTATGAGACAACCGTCATGATTGGGCAGACAGGTAGAGCTCCTCTAATGTGTGATCCCATTTGCCTGAGAGAGATGCCTCTCCTCCCCTTGTTGCCCAGGAAACCTATTAAAGGGGGGGGGGGAGGCCTGGGATCCTTCAAATGCTGGAAATATTTTTGGAAGTATTCAGGACCCAGATACCAGTATTCCCAAGAATCCTGAATATCATCTGGTTACCAGACTATATCTTACTGGTATTTTATGGGGACATATTGAGACCAGATATATACGAGTGCAAATCCGTAAAAGCAGACTCCAGTCACGCCAGGCCCAGTCTTGGACTCTGATAGCCATCCACCAGTAGCCCTTTAGCCAGTGAAAAGTCTCAATGAGATTGACGGAGGTTCTTGGGACAAGCCCTCCTCCCACTCTCCCATCTCTAGAAAAATGTATAACCTCTATAGGTTGCCAACAAGAATGTGCATTCTTATACACTGACTGACTCTGTCATTGTTATTTATTTATTTATTGGATTTTTACCCCGCCCTTCCAGCAGAGCCGGCTCAGGGTGGCTTACTCAATCAGTATAAAACACTGCAATGTGACATTGTTGAAACTGCTCTGGGCAAAACACAGCACGCATCCCACTCTGCCCCCCACTGCAGGAAACTTAATAACTTTGGTAGGAACCTCTGATGCTATGACATCTGTGATTCCCAGCTACCAAGCCTGCTTCTTATGGTACCAGCTTTTTCTGTGGGAGAAAATCTTCCTGGCCCATTAGTTACAACTGATGGCCCTTACATTTAGGGGCAAAAGCTCTTTGAATTACAAAGCAACAAATCCTCACTACCATGTTGCTGAAACTGGGAGGAGGCAAATGACCTCTGCCCTAGCTCTCTGTCACTATACCTAGTTATGGTCTTCTGCTCTGGCCCCAGATGTCAGAGTTAGAACTGAAGACCTTCCTTTTGACAAGGAAGGTCTGTTCAGACCAAGACTGACAACTTTCTAAAAAGTAGACTGCCACACAGTCTATGGGCCTTGCCACATTTTCATCCAAACTGCAGTCCACCAGGCACTGGCACTAATTAGTAGAATGTCAAACAGCCCTTCAAGTTGTACCCTGATCAGGGTTCTAACCCACAATCATGTCATCCTACATGAAGATCACATTCATCTTCTCCTTCCAAACAGTCCTCCAGCATCAAGATGGGATTTTCAGATTCAGGCTGACTTCCCCCACCCCCTTCCATCTCCAGAAGTTGACACTTACATGTGTGGGAAGTCATAACTTCCACTGCTCACTGTAGTCACACTTAGCTATGCCATAAAACACAACAGTATCACCCATCATTGTCTTCGGATCTATCCCCTTCTGCTGCCGTATTTCTCAAGCAAAGAATCCCTACGCCTTAAGCAAGCAGTAAACCCTATTCCTTGGTCTTAGAGAGGTCAATGATTCTATTCCCGATACTTCACCATGCCCAAGGGGGATGGATGCCTCCATCCCATTCTGGACCTCAGAGGTGCCAACCACTTCATTGCTACTACTACCTCATGCTGCTGCTTAACTTATTAGTTTTAAGCAAATTACTAAAATATAGGAAAAGCTAGACCAAATTTGAATGGCTGTGAAAATCTGTCACAGATGCATAAAATTTCACAGCTAAAAGAGTGATAGGTCTGCTATTATCGCCTAATAAAAGAGGTATGCCTCTATATGATCTATATTTTGGAGGCAAGGAAGAATTAAAAGATTTCTAGGCTCAGAAAAGTAATCACATTCAAAGGTCACATGGTACAGAGTGTCTACGCTACTACCTGCACCACAGTTGCATAGTCTATCAGAGTAAATCTTGAGATATCTCACTTGGAAAACTCTAGATGGTAGGGCATTAAGGTGCACTAACATAAAGGCATGCCTATAGTGAGGAACAATCAACCTCTTTATTACACCTTGCAAGTTCAGGATTACACTTTCCTCCATACTTCTTCTATTATGGGGGGTGGGTCTAAGGGATGCTTACTTCCAAACTGTAGTCAGGCCTCAACATCAGGTTTGCAGTGGCCAAGAGCCATTTCAGTACAAACTGTTGCCCTTCAGCCTCATCATTGCCCCAAGTTTCTTTACCAAATGCACGGCAGGGGTTGCCGCTCACTTGAGGTGCTGTGGCAGAACAGTCTTCTCATACATCGCTGACTGGCTGACTGCTGAAGCATCTAGAAGACAGTCTTCATCTCCATGGCTGCGAGTCTACAGAAAGAAGTGACACTTCATGTGATCTGAGACTCCTTTTCTTTATGATGGCCTTCCTAATCTCCCTCTGCTCAGCAGGGCAGTCATGTGAATTGACCATTATCAGGGCTGACCTTTTTTCCTTCCATTTCCATTGGATCAAGGTAATACTACACCCTGGCATCTCCTTGATACCTACGGTTATTTCTGATTTTCATTTGAATCAGGATATCATTCTGCCTAGCTTCTTCCAGACACCCACTACTGATACAGAGAGGATCCTGCACTTGTTTGGCATCAGGAGGGCACTGACCTTTTACATCGTCCACACCTTTTCCTTCTGTTCACATGTATGGCTTTTCATATCCTGTGGCAGCAACCACAAAGACTAACCTGACAGAGGCCCTGCAGATGGATCTCACATAATAGTGAGTTGAGTTGGAGTGAGTTGAGTTGGATCATTCTGTCAGCATTCTGTCAGATCCATAGCAGTATCCCATTCTTTCATCAAGGGAATACCACTTCCTGAATTCTATTGAACATCCACATGGGCTTTTCCCATCACCTTTGTGCAGCACTGTACAATAAACATTAGAGCACTCGGGGGTGCTTCCCTTGGGTGAACTGTTCTTTAGACCATCTTCTCCTAAGCAGTGCCTGCACCCAGCTCCAGGTAGGCAAGCTTGCTAATCTACACCCATCAGTGTGATACACATCCAGAAAGTAAAGATAGGTTGCCTACCTGTAACTGTTGTTCTTGGAGTGGTCATCTGTGCATTCACACAACTCTCTCTCCTTCCCTGCTGCAGGTAATATGCATGTTAGCAGTGTCCACAAAGGTGGAAGGTAGTGAGTGGAGAGGTGCGGCTCCTCCCCTCCGGGCATGCATGGTGTATCTCTATGCTGGGAGAGGGAGGGGACTTTCACACCATTTTGTAGCTATAGATGTTTCTGAGATCAGCTTCTGTCATGCACAAAACCCATAAATGAGAATGCACAGATGACCACTCTAAGAACAACAGTTACAGGTAAGCAACCTGTCTTTCTCATTAATCACAGTCAGGTGCTTATCCGTTAAATTTCATTTTTGTGTTTGCTGTGAAGAGCCAACTGTTTTTGTTCAGGACAATAGCTGACATAGTTCCATTAGACTTCAAAGTATTCAGCCAATTCTTACATAGTACAGTACTAACTAAAAATATCATAATACTGAGGCCTACATCCATATCTTTTCTATTGTAGAATATGGGCTTAAATACACAAAACTTCATTTTAATGCAAAATTAGTTACAAATTCATGCTATTAATTTGCTTTGATACATTCTAGGCTCTTGCTACCCGAAGCCCCTCCCAAAAAATTCCTTACGCTGGGTTCCAAGTTTCGTTACAGTGGGAGGACACAGGCCCAAACGAGGAGAGCCAGTGCATTGATAGACCGCCCAGCACCTTATTTTGAGCGTTCTTCAAGCAAACGCTATACTATGTCTCGCAGCCTAGATGGGGGTAAGATGCTCTTAGTGGAGTTTTTTTTTCCCTTTTGTATTTTATCTCTTTGTTTCTTAAGGAACAATCTTGTTACAGAATAGATTTAAGCCTCTTGTTATCTCGTGTCTCCTGAGCTATTGCCAGATGACATTTGTAAGTATAAGCATGATTTTTCATTTACTATAGAAAGATTAGATAAAGAAACTAAATAAATATTAGAGTATTGTCTTTCCTGGGTTTTTTCAGTGGCAATCCTGAAAAACTGCAGAAAGAGAAATAACAGCACTTCCATTCCCTTGACAACCTGTTCCCTCAGATGCTTTCTTTGGGACCCTTTATTTTCTTTCCAGTTTTTCATGGTCCCCCAGCTAAAGTGGTTTGGCGCTATGTGGTCAGACAGGAATTCCTGTCTAAATCTAAACCATGCACTCATGTTCCTAACCAAAAGGCTGTATTCAGCATGTATAACCATTGCTGTCAGAACCTCACTAGTTTAGGTTGCATCTTGTTGCCTGTGAACTTTACAAGGGCAGGTAGGGAAGTAAGGTTTTCATGTTGGTTTACTAGCAGCTGCCCACTTCATGGCTTTGCTTGCATGCATACAGTTTTTTATGAAATTAAATTGATTTGTGTTGTTTTGTAATATAAATAAAGCCCTTTAAAACTAACCAAGCCTGATGCTAAGAAATATAAACTTATCTAACCAGTTTTAAATACAATAGTGCTTTAATTGCATGCAGATAATGGCATATGATTGTTTCCTGTGAAGCTCTAATTTAGACACCTGTACTTCTTAAAATTAAGGTGACTGAGTGGATTTCAAGAATGTTGAATGTAGCAGATGCTGAAGAGCACAGAAAGTCAACCAACCAACCCCCCATACCATTGATGTTCCGTATAGATTAGTACTAATACACATTGCTCCTTGGTGCAACTGATAATATGGATGGTTATCACTTGTTAATAGTGATCCTTCGAGTTGTAAAATTATTAAATTCCTGCTGGTTACCAAGCAACTCCTGACCTTACTGCATGAATCTTGGGAGTACAAATAGTTCTGGGTGTTATTTTTCTTCTGATTCAGTTGTAATAGCAGGTCTGCCTTGTGATGGCAGAAAGACAGGATATAAATTTTGTAAAATAAAAGTCAGTCTCTGCAAAATGTTTCAGTATAAACTGTAGCATAAATGCAATTAATATTGTGCTGCCATGTTGTAGTACTGCTAGGATAAACAGCATGGACCCTTGTTGATACAATGCTCTGATTCACCCACTGTTAGTGTTTTGCTGTCTTCTAATGAACTGCCCTTAGCTCTGTGTTAGGAGGAGATGTATTGTTACCTAGTAAATGTGATAGTTGCCATCTTAGTAGCATAATCAATGGACAAAGCATAATGGTCCCTGTGGAGAAACGCCATTTTATGTATATGTTTAAGTTGGTGTGGGCCATATAGGAGGGGACCATCAAACCTGAGGTAGACCTTGACCTAGTCTCCTTCTCATTCCTCCCCCCTCCTGTCTCCAACCAGTAGTCTGAGGGCAGCTCCCTAGAGAGGACAGGAAGTCCATCAAGGTTGTGAGGAGATCTGCCCCAGAATGCTGCAGGAGGGAGAGCCACTTCCTGGGCGGGAAGGGCTGTTGGATATAGTGGAGCTTTTGGGCGGGAAGCCAGTCTATCAGAATTGAGGTTGGTCTGTCAGAAGTCTGAAGCCAGTCAGGCTGTCGGCTGGAGTCTGCAGGAGGCAGAGGCCATGTTGGGAGTTGTGCTAACCTAACCTTCTCCAGTGAAAGCAAGTCATGTGCCTGCCTTGCAGACCATCTAGACAGGGTATGTGTAGAGAAGGGAGAGATGGAGAGATTTTGTCACCTTTATTTTGATTCTTCAGTTCACTGTTAATATGCCTGTATATAGTTGAGTGGTTTCAAAATAAATCCTTTTACTGTTGACATTGAGAAGTTCCTCTGTACCGCATAGTTCCCCCAGCCACTTGGACACGCTAGGAGTGGGTTGGGGACTCCCTGAGGAGAACAAGGGCAAAACGGCCAGGGGAGCCCTGTTCCTAGTGACATCAGAGGGAGGTTAGGAGGCTGTCCCACCTAACCAGAGCCCAAGACAGGGACAGTGGTGGCAGCAAAACCCGGAGGCAGTGGTCAGGCAAAGGAGGGGTGGGCAGAGCGGGGTCTGCCAGCTGACGCGGGCCCATTCCGCCACAGTCCCAAGCAAGTGATGTGTTGTGTTGTATGTATGTATAGGTGATGTCATGTTCTTATGGGCAGGCCATAAGCCTGGGATAAATGATTGGAGGATTTAGTGAGGAGAGATGATGGAGGAAAAGATAGTCTAGTAAATTTTGATAGATGTGAATTTGAAGTATACACATCTTTCAACTTCAGAAAACAAACCCTGCAGAGGTAGTTGTAGTTGGCAGCAGTAGTAGTAGTTGTAGTAGTAGTCATTTATTGTGTTGACTCAAGTGTGAATAAGTAGTATGGAGCTCTTTTCATAGGAAACTGTTTGAGGTTTCAGAGTTCTGAATACATTAACTTGCAAAATCACTGTGAACGAAGCATACATAAAGAGGGGGTTGGAATTAAACATCAAATAAGTTTACACTACAGTGTTTATCTTGCATACCCTGACACCTGTGAATATAGGTTATTCAAGTGTGCATTGATTTTGGAATTAATCAAATATAAAATTACCAGTCACTAGGGCGCCACGGTGTAACATCTGGCTTTCATCTAGTTATTTCTATCTTGCTTTTCTTCCAAGGAGCTCAGAGTGAAAGTTGATCCCACAAAAACTTTGTTAAGACATAGAGAAATACAAAGTACAATGGAGAACTAAAGCTGGCTTTTCCATGTTCAAACACAGTCTAGCCGTTACACACTTTTCCACACCAAAAAGTGTAGTCCTAATGGTTTCAGCATCATATGTCGGCTACTTGGAAGAATGCATATAATTGCTACCATTGCTGCTTTTAAAGTCGGTGCTCAGTTTGCCACTGATGTGCATGTGCTTCCTTAAAATTGAATAATAGTCTGTAGTATAATTCTACAAGAGGCAATATGTTTTCATTGCATCTGGTTTGGATGTAAAGAAGGTGTTCCAGTTCATTGGAAAGAAAAAAATAAAGATTTGGAGCACTGAGTATGTAAAAACTAACTTATAGAACCTTAGTTGAGCCTGGTACCCAGGAGCATCCATTGAGAGTTAGTTTCTCAGGAAATCTGGGGCTCATTTAGAGCTACAAATAGTAAATTAATATTTTTAGTGCAAAATGATTAGTGAGGAATGATTGCGGATGGTCACATCTGGGTTAACTGGCTAGTCAGAGGAATTTGGTGGGCCTGCACCATGTAATCCAAGTAGATTGATTACAAACCTTTCAATCAACTATAAAAGAGTTCCCAGTTAATTGGGTAGCAGATGTTAAATTTGTAATTATTTTTAATTCAAGTATTTTTAAAAACTGCAGATTTGAAGCTACTGTTTCTATAGGAGGGTTTTCTCCTGTGTGAGAAAGGGACAATGCCTCTTCCCACTGAGGAATCACATATACACAGGGCTTTTTTTGTAGAAAAAGCCCAGCAGGAACTCATTAGCGTAATATGCCACACCCAACAACAGAAACTCATTAGCATATTATGCCACACCCCGACATAGCAGCTCACTAGCATATTAGGCCACACCCCACGTTACCAGAAGTGTGCTCATCCAGCCACACCCACCTTTTGCTTCTTATTCTGTTTACCTTGTTTGTTGTCAAAACCCAGGGCTTTTTTGTAGCAGGAACCCTTTGCATGTTAGGCCACACACCCCTAATGTAGCCAATCCTAATGAGTTTCTGCTGTTGGGTGTGGCCTATTATGCTAATGAGTTCCTGCTGGGCGTGGCCAACTCGGGAGCCAGCCGGAACTCCATTCCTGTGCGTTCCTGCCCCAAAATAGCCCTGCATATACATTACAGAATTCTTCCTTTAGAAATATTTATGCAGATATATAGTTATATGATTTATTGACTTAAGATGAATTATTGACTCATACAAATAATCAGTTAAGCATTTTTTAATTGGGTGGCAGCTCTTTTTATATGTATGGCTTTTCTCAAATATGTCTATGAAATGTCACCAGGAGAACTGACATACTAAGTTGTCATGATTACAGTGGAATGTGTACACAGTCGGGCTTGCCAAAGTGAAGAGAAAAGGTGACACATAATAAACAACAATTATCCATTTGGCTCTCTCATTATCAAATGTATTAATTTTGGAATATCAGTGTCACTTGATTACATGTTGCTTATGTATTTAATATTGTAGAGATGTAAATTATTATTTAATGAAATGATACTTTTTACAGGTTCTTGAAATTGTTTTTTTACATATTCAGGTTTCTCCTTAGAGAACCTTCTTTGGATCTCTGTATTGTTGTTTTTAGGTTCACAATATTCTCCAGCTTCATTTTGTTTGGATTGCCTTTGGTTACATTATAGCTAAAATACTAAGCCTTTTGTTGTTGTTTATGACTCTAGAGCAATATTGATTGTTCCTTGCATTCTCTTATACAAGGAACATTGTGTAATGCATTCAGCAGTTTATATCTATAAGTATTCTGAATAAATGTTATGGAGCATCTGCATGTGTGCAAATACATACAAATCCTCAATATTGTGCATACTCGTGTAAATTAATTTAACCCCCTAGCAAATTTAATTAGCATTTATACATGTTTCTGCATGTTTTTGAAACATGTCATCTCTTTGGCAAGTTCTCATAATCCATTACTTATTTTAGTTAGCTTTACAGAGAATACTTTATTTCAGGTTTTACCTCTTTAAATTATATTTGCTTTTAGCATCAGTGAATGAAAACCATGAAATGTACATGAAGGATTCTATGTCTGCTGCAGAGGTTGGTACTGGCCAGTATGCCACAACAAAGGGCATCTCTCAAACCAACTTGATAACCACTGTGACTCCAGAGAAAAAGGCAGAAGAAGAGAAGGATGAGGAACAGAGTAAAAAAAAGAAAGAGGAAGTCACTCCGGTCTCAGCAGTACGACATGATACCAAGGTACGGTTTTCAAGCCTCTATTTAACTTAGTCAGCTAAAGAATTTTAGAAATTATTCAATAACTGGGAAAGAAAGAAACAACAGTGAGAAAAACCAAAGTATATATGCATGCTCCTTGGTGAATATAGTTGTGTTTGTGTGCTATCACATTTCCCTTGTACCAGTTTGAACAAGGGAATTTGTAACATTTGTCTTGTTTTATGGGGAAACACTTGTTAACATGTAGATGGCATTGTGATTAAGAGTTGAAGTGTCTTCTACATTTTACTTGTTTCTTACAAAGATAAGAAAGGAATTGTCAGATAAACAAGTAATTTTTAAAGTCTGCTCGTTATTATTTTATTCTGATAATTTTGTTCCAATAACTATTGGGTTAGATCTTATTTTCCTGACTGGACAGGGTGTTTGTTTCCTTTTGATTAACTTTAGAATCAGTGTTACTGCCATTTCTGTAAACCACAGTACATAAGTATAGTTCTGACATCCATCACATTCCACTTTTCTGCCATATAAATATAGACTTATGTTAATGTTGTTCTTTACTCTGCAGTAAATTAGCACTATCAATTTCACACATGCTATTCAGTTATAAGGCTAAAAGTAAAGAATAACATTTGCAGTTGCAAACTACACTGAAGGAAATATCTGTCTTATCTCTGTTGGCATAGCTGCATTTGGGGTGTGTTTGTGTGTGTTTACGTTTTTCTAGTACATCAGAGCAGATTGCAAATTGCAAATATTGCTAAAGAGTAATATTTGGAAATACACATTATTATCTTAAAGTTTTTTTGATCTTCAAAATTTCTTTCTGATAAGCAATATAGATATGTTGGTTTAAAAAAAAAAAAAGATTTCCTGCTAGAGATGCCTGGAATATGTTTTTTACATGCAGGGAAATGTAAATTAAAGTGATTTTAAATAGTTTAAAAATACATTTTAATATCCTTTCTAATATGATGTATATACCATTTTAAGTAACAGGATTGTGAATTCGATCCTGAAAGGTAGGAATTATAATGGAGTTCTGCTTGTGAAATGAGGCTTTCCCACTTTCCTGTTCTTTTTGCAACCCCCTGCTCCCAGCTGAGGGGTTGGGGAATTTCTTGAATGCTGTAAGATAGGAAGCAGAGTTCTGCTAGAGGAATGGAGCTTTACCAACAACTCCATCCTACTGTAGCTTCCTGTACCCTTGAAAAGGAACACCAGGTGGTTGGGGGACCCAACCTTTCCTTTCCTCTGGCTATGTTGCCACAGAAAGGGCTGCAGCTGAAGAGGGAATCATGGACATGTACAGTCTTGGTAGTACAAGAAGCTGACTAGATTTCAGTTTATAATTTAAGTTTATATCTCATTAAAGAAATCTAACCATGCAGGGAAATGAGAGTAGAAAAAATGTAAAAGCCAAGCTTTCATATAATCCATTTCAAACCTTAACCCACTGATCTTTTTGTGTGTGTAAAAGCAGACTGTAAAAATCTGTACATAGGAATCTACCAAACTAATTGTCAGTGCCGTCAGTTCTCAAAATGCCAGGTCACCTCTAATAGGCAGAAGAATAGACTGGATTTAGTCCACAGTCCTCCAAGCGAATACTTGAAAGCTAATAACACCATCAGTCTTCTGCCGCATACTCGCAAGAACAACTGCATGCAGTCGTGTACTGGATGGTGGGAGGTTTTCCCTCAGTGTGCCAGTTGTGCATCCATTTAAGGAGACAGTAAATATGCTGATTTTTTTAAACGGAACTGGATTCTACTCACCAGTTTGTTTGTTTATATCTTATTATATTACATTTTAGGTTACAATTTATTTTACTTTAAATTATTGTATTTTGGTTAGCTATAACAGTGAATGTTTCTGGGAACTGAAATGTTTTAGAAGATTATTAGGGCTTCTTGTTTCTCAGTGAAGGTATTGGAGATCCATGATCTGATTGCCCATGTCTTTACATAGACAGCAGCTGCATGGGATTAACCCATTTTGCCTCGCCTGTTTTCCTGTGGTAAATCACCCCATTTATGGCTCTGTTGCTTCCCCGACTGAATACCCATATGTTTTCTCTACCAGGGCAAATAGTACCTTTGAGAATTGCATGAGTGGGGAGTTAACCGCCACTCTCCCTGTGCCATGTAACCACCCTCCTCTCCCCCCAGTAGCTGCTGTTTATAGACATTAAAAGGCATGGGAAATATACATGGATTGCCACTTCTTCATGCAGTTGCATCTTGAGAAGATTAGACAACTTTCTCTGAAACAGCAGATAAATTTCTCCAGAAGTCATCTTGATCAAAGTTCACCATGACTGAAGTTTTGTAATGCAGAGACCCCCAGACTGTTGCATTCTAAAGTCCACACTTAGATCATGTGTGGTTATGGGCACTGCTCTGTGTAAACTGAGTAGTCTTTAGATCATGCATGAGAATTGTCTGTATCCCAAAGAGGTTAAGAGGACAAATATGGGTTTTTAAGCAGACAAATCAATGTGAGTAGGACCCCTTGATTTGTAAGGGGTTATATAAACTGAATGTATTAAGTACTTGGTTTTGTGATATCTCAGAAAATCAATTGGAATAAAAATTGTAAAGTCTATTTACGAGGCACAAGCATATAGACACTGAGTCAGTTTTGTTACTTACATGCACAATAATTCTTGGTAATAAACATGTTTTCAGAATCTAGTAATATGATTTGAATACTGCATATGTGTTCAACCACAGTCCAATCACAAACCAGTACAGCCAACCAGTAGCAGAATGGTACAAGAAAACTGAAGACAATCTAAATACATGAATTTATCAAATTGGCTATAATATGTGCCCTAAATAACCACTTCTGTAGGATTATCTGTATCACCCAACCATATCTGTAGCACACATTTGCCCTCAAATCTGCTAATGCTACACATTACATCATGCTAACTCACATCATTTCCAAATTTTATTTGATTATCAATTTTGTTTAACACCTAGTTATTTCCGAGCTTAAAGAATGGATACTGTATAACAACCCAGTGTTCACGTCTATTGCACAAGCTCCATTTATGATATTTGAGAGAGGCTTATAAAATTAGAGGGGTCTGAGAACTTTAGTGGCTTTAAAAAAGGATTAGTCAGAATGGCTAAGGAATGGCCATCACTATAATTCTATATCTGAAGCATCTCAGAAGTATCTGGGAAATTGGTATTGGAAATAAAATCTTGGATTACACAGATTTTGACTTGATCCAGCAAGGCAATTTTATCCAGCAGAAGCTGTTCCACTAAAAAGTAGTATCATGTCCATTTTGTATCTGATTCTCTGAAATCAACACACAAAATGATTTCACTTAGCAAATACACCCCTTTCTTGTTTTGCATTTAGAATGGAATATGCACAGTATGAACATTCCATTTCAGAATATTCGTTATCCATGTTGATGAGCTTTCTAAACTCATTTAGAACTAGCATGATTACTAGCCCAGTTAACATTTAACAGGGCCAAACTAGTCTATACTCATCAGATCTCGGAATTTAAGCAGGGTCAGCCCTAGTTAATATTTGGATGGCTGACCACCTAAGAGGTACAGGGTCATGAAGTAGAGGCAGACAATGGCAAACCACCTCTGAATGTCTCTTGCCTGGAAAACTCTACTAGGTTGCCATAAGCTGGCTGTGATTTGACAGCACTTCCCACCTCTACTGAATGATGCCAAGAGTAAGGTCCAAATGTTGCTACACTGTAACAGGTCTAAGGTGATGTTCACTGCTTTAGTTGTTTTTGAGGATTGTGTTCTAACTTGAAAAGATGAATGATAAGACATAGTTTTAATAAGCTATCGCTCTCTTAATTATCTGTAGACCATTTAGTAACATGGGTTTGAATCGTAACTGTATTCACAGAATGGAGCTTTCCTGCCTTTCTATTCTTGCCTTTTGCATCTTCACAAAATCCACTCTTGAGAGTTAGGAGACACTAAGAATGCTATAGGACATTGCACAACCATCTGTAGTGGAGAGAAGGAATTATCACAATTAGAGGAAGCTATTATTTTAACCTACACATACTGTAACCTGTGCTGGAAAAAGGCAAGTATATTAAAGGCAGTATACACACATTGGCTAGTTAGTTGATTTGTCTGCAGGGAAACATTTAGCACTTACATGGAAAGTCTTGCCTTTCCATGACATCACTGGACACTCAAAGAACATATGACATTCTGTGATTTTTTAAAAAAATCTTTACTAAGAGTCCTCATAGATCATACTTACATTACAGACTAACATCAGATTTGGACTTAAACTATCATTTCCCCCCTAACTTCTGGCAATTATAATGTAATGAGGTGGTAAGAATTCTCTGTCAGAGATCTGTATCTACCTACCATGAATAACAATTCCCAGGGTTCCCTGGGAAGTAGGCATGGGTTTGGAGGATCAGGAACATACTTCAGGGTCAAACAGTCTATCCTTGATTCACACACACTGTCTCCTTTGTTTCCTAATTTCTTCTAACCACAGTATACTACCGTATTATATCTGAATCAAGCAAACTGCTTAGCACTAACCTATCCAAACTGTGATTTGAAATCATGGTGTGAAGTGAGTTTCTAAATCATGCTTGGAGTCAGAACTAGTCATCAATGCCCAATGCAACAAAGTTAGAGTCCAATGGCACCCTTAAGACCAAGGTGCCATTGGACTCTAACTTTGTTGTATTGCTTCAGTCCAACATGGCTGCTTACCTTGATCAATGCCCAATGCAGACATTGTGATAAACTGTGTTTCATGATTGTGTCTTTTGTGCAGTCCCACATGGAAAATGTGCATGTGTAGACCAACTGTGGATGTTCGAAAAGCTTCTGACAATGTGAGGTGCTGTCCCACTATCCAGTGTGGTGTCTCGCACAAACTCCCTATAAAAGGGTTATCCTTATCCACCACTGTAGAAGGATGTCTGTCTTCTGTCTGATTCCTGACAGTTGCAAGGCAAGAAGAAACAGTTGTGGAACTGATCATCTCCA